CAACCCGATATTAAATATATGTATGAATAGCCCTACTTTTGCTGAATAAAATGATATATTTTTTATCGTAATTTATTCAGAGAAGTTGAGAAATATTAATTAAAAGTCATCAAAATTCGTGCCGATTCCAAACCTTTTTTGTCCAGTGAGTGTAGGCCTAGTGTGGTCCAATTGATCTTACGTTATGTAATTAATGCAGGACATGTACAAGGATATTGGCAGTGTTTATTGAGATTAAACGCAGTGGTAGTAGGGCTGGCATTCTACGAATTTTTATCTGCCACATGTAATTAGTGCTCAAAACATTTTTATGTAACAAATATCTGTAAATATTTACACAGCAAAGCACCAACCAAAATAAAGTGGCGTTCGATCTTCTTTGCATCAATAATGATATCAATATGCAAAAACCGCTGCTTTTTTTTTCCAAAGGTTCAAAGCTGATTTTTTTTACTCTTATTCATTTATTAAGAAAAAAATTATTTCTAGCACTGTAAAAAATGCCGGAGTTTACTCAAAACCTTATTCGTGATCTTACGGAACTTTTGGATCGTTCGGATGAATATAATGTTACTATTCTGGTTGGAGATAATAATGGAAACCTTGAAAAGTTTCAAGCACATTCGCTGATGCTTCGTGCAAGATCACCGTATTTTAAACGAGCTTTATCAAAGGATTGGTCGAAGAAAGAAGGGGAAATGCATATTTTTAAGAAACCGAATATCAGCTCAAAAGTTTTTGAAATCATTTTAAAGTATGTCTAATTATTCATATAAACTAATGTTAATTTTATGATTAAATATTAACAATAAATTGAAATAAGATATATGTACACCGGCATCGTGAATTTGGACAAATATTCTGGGAATGATGTTTTGAAATTGCTAGTTGCAGCCGACGAACTTGAAATTGTAGAGTTAATTGATCACGTACAAGACCATCTTATCAATAATAAATCAACCTGGACAAAGCAAAATCTCGTCACGCTTTTACATATTATGTCTGGACATGAAACATTCGAAAAATTAAATACACATTGCCTCGAAACGATTTGCGAAGAGCCACATTTGATCTTTAAATCCGACGATTTCTTGGCTTTAGATGAACCAATGTTAGTCTGGCTCTTAAAGCGCGATGACCTTGGAATGGATGAAATTGAAGTTTGGGATTATACAGTTCAATGGGGTATCGGAAATACGGAAAATTTGAGTTCGCATGATGTTTCAATGTGGACGGTTGATGATTTCATCGCGCTCGAGAAAACTCTGCACCAATGCATTCCATTAATTCGTTACTTCGAAATTGCGGCGGATGATTACGCGGAGAAAGTTCTTCCATATAAAAAAATATTACCAAAAACTTTGAAAAAACAACTTTTGACGTTTCATTTGAAAGCTGGAAGCGAACCACCATTGAATGCTTTACCACCGAGAGTTTTGTGTGCGACTGTCGCAATTGATTCGGTTATCACTAACCCAAGACATGCGGCCCTTATTGCCTCTTGGATTAAACGTAGATTAGGAAGTGATATTTCTGAATATAAATTTAATTTGATTCTACGGGGAAGTAGAGACGGCTTCAGTAATTCAATCTTTCGTCAAATGTGTGCGCATTTAACTAGTACCGTAGTTTTGATAAAAATTTGTGGATCAGGAAAAATTATCGGTGGTTATCAAGCAGGAAAGTGGTTTAATAATACAAAGAGAAGCGACATATTACTTGATGAGGAATTCTCCAATTTTACATTAAGTCGCCGTCCTCGTCAATTATCAAATCCTGAAAAGGCGTCCAATTTAAATTTTTTATTTTCTCTTGGAACTGGAAAAAATCTGAAATCCGTTCAACTCTCCTTCGCCGAACAACGCTTATGCAACGGCAGTCAACGAAGTAATAACACACATTCTGGACCATTCTTTTATAACGATTTATTCATTAGTGACCAATCGAATTCGAATAGACTTAGTTGGTATCAATGTCAAACCTATCAACCGAATCTTTTTAATGGGCAAATCGGACAACATTTTTTCCAAGTTGAAGAGTATGAGGTTTTCCAAGCGGTAGTTCACGATGATTAAGTGCTAAAGAGTACGTTTATTTATTATAATATATTACATCATATAATTAATTAATTTAGCTTAAAAATGTAAATTTGTAAATTTATATCCATTTATAAATTAAAATAAACTGTCAATTACCTATAATTTTTAATTTAATTGCTCATAATAGTACATGTACACGTAAACCTCTCTATAACGACATCATAAATTTCGTAGTCGCATAGGAAATCAAGTTTTCGAATAGTAAGAAATTACATGTAAAATTGCAATCTCGACATTTTTTGATCGTGCTTCAAGCTAGATTTTGCGTAAAGCCATTGGGAAGGGTAAAGTTTATGCAGATTTTTTTTAAGATCATGATTGGCAAATAATTTAATCGACATTATACAGTTTCTGGAACGCACATCAGAAATCTGTGCCAGGTTTTGTCGATTATTAGTCGGATGTGGTGTCCGATCATCAGCCCGGATTATTAGCCGCACTAAATTTTGTATATATGTATTTATTATTGGCCAATCGTTTTTCAGCATAAAATTAAACACGAGAAATGGTAAGTGTTCATTAAGGTCATATTGAATAATGTATTGTTTGTGAGGTTAAGAACGTTTAAAGCGCCACTCAATGTTACGTTCTTGTTAAGGAATTTATCACAATAACTCGCTTAACACAAATCAAGCCAAATTCCACAATAACTCTCTCAATAACTCACCCAACACAAAATAAGCGAATCCCACAATGGCTCGTGCAATATGGCAGTATCAAAAACATTTCTAAATTTGCCAGATTATGATTAATAATGTCAAATTGGCAAAAGGGAGGGGGTTATTAGTTTAGAGGTGCTAAATAGAAATCTATATATTTGTATTGATCGATTGTAAAATAATTAATGCCATTGTTAAAAAAAGATCTTTGTTAACAAAGAGATTATTGTTAATAAAGATATCATTAATCAGATTAATTATTAAATAATTAAGTATATTAATACCATGCAAATAATTCATTCTATATATTTACAAATGAATTATTTTAATAAGATAATAATTAAATAATAATAATAATAAGAAGCCAATATAAAATCCAATATATTATATAAATCCATTAATTCAATTAATTTTTATCAATATTTTGATCTAGATTATGTTTTTTTTGTTAACTTTCCAAATCTTTCATGCTAAAATAGCAATAGATCACTATTTTCTTTTTCTATATAATCAAAAAGTCTTCTTTTTATACTATTAGATCCTGTTGTTTTTTAGTATTTTACTGATTCAATCTGCATGCAAATTTTTGTATCACTTTTAACACAAGTACAAGAATTAATATTATGATTAATATTATAAAGATATTAATTATGAATTAGATATGACTTTTGCTATGTTATATTGCTTAATGAACTTATTAAGAGTAATAAAAAGATTTGAATTATTATTCTTGTGATCATTTTTGATTGTCTCAATAAATAATTCAAAAGATTTAAAATCATTTTCATGTATTGTATTGAATCTAATTAAAAAAAAATAATTAATTAAAATAATAAATAAAAAATAAACTTAAAGTAAATATATCTATCCTTTAAAGCTGTCTTATTAGATTGCAATTTTTGAATATTATGAGAGTTTTGGATATTATAAGAGTTTTAAATATTATAAGAGTTTTGGATATTATGAGAATTTTGGATTTCATGAGAGTTTTGGACTTTATAAGAGTTTTGAACTTTATTTTGAACTTGTAAGAGATGATTGAATTTAAATTATAATTGATAAAGAAGCATATATATATAATAATATATAAAAAAATAATTCTTAAAAATAATTTCTAAAAAATTATTAAGTTAGATAAAAATAAAAAAATTAAACTTACTATATTAAGAATGCAATAATGCATAAAAGAAGTGATTTTTAGAAGTAATCTCTAAAAAAAGTATTAAATTTAGATAAATAAAAGAAAAAAGTAATTAGAATTTATTATATATAATATATATGTAATTACAGTGATTATCAGAAGTTAAAGATAAAATAAAGTTTAATAATCTAATATAAAATTTTATAGTTGTGATATCTTAATACTTATATAATATTTTAGATAATTCAATAAAATAAATATATATACTAATTTTTATATTATTAGTATAAAATAATTTAGAATTCTTCTATTAACTTGAATTAAATATTCAGCATATATTTTTATTTGTTAGATTTCTAATATATTAATTATCTCTTTAATCTAAATACAAAAATTACTTAATAATTTAAAGATAATCAAGATATTTATTTGTAATTTCTAATAAATAATATTTATAAAAGTGATTCATATTTATAATTATAAAATAAAATACTTAAATAATATTATATGCTTAAGTATATAAAATATAATAACTTTAAGTAATTCAAAGTTATATTTTATATAGTTATTTATATTATTACCATGTAAAAGAAGGCCAGAATGAAATAATATTATTTAAAATTATTATTAATTTTAAAGTAACTCAAAATATTTTTGTAGAAATAAATATATAGAATAATAATTAGTTTTTAAATTATGATAATACTTTAATATTTTGATTTTTATTTTTGTATATAGAATTTTTTTTATTATTTTCATAATAGATATATAATGATCTTTATTAATATGGTATTTGATATGATATAATCAATATCAAAATACTTGAAGAATATAAAATATATATAGAAATCATATTAATTTTGACTAATAAATCTCTAATATATTTTATTTTACACTTGAATCATCTATTAAAAAGATTATTAAACCAATATCAGAATCATAATCAAGAAAATATATTATAGAAGAAGAGTTTTTAGCATATTTATTCTCTTTTCAAGAGTAATCTCTAGTTTATTAGATATTATAAAAAGATCAAGAAATAATATATCTACTATATAACTTATATAAAATAAAGTAATTAATATATTTAGTAACTTGAAAAAAGCTAATATATTTATATAGCAAAACTCTTTTACTTGCTGAATTTTTTTATAAATCTAATATATTAAATTTGTTATTATACAAAGAATAAGAACTTATTCTGAACTTGAGTCATATACTTGAAGAGTAGTATAATTAAATTTAGAGTTATTATAAGTGCTAATTTTATGTGTAAGTTTTTAGAACATCAATATATTATTCTTTTCTTTGAGTTATCTATTATAGTATTATTTAAACAAGTTTAAAATATGATTATAATTAGAATTATATATATAATTAGCCAAAAGTTATATGAGTTCATGATCAATTTTGTACTTAAATGTAAATTATCTTCATAAACATATATAGCTAATGCTGATAAATATCTATTATAAAATAGCTACATATATTTATCACAAACATTATCTTTAACTTGCCAGAAACTGAGAGATTTTGCAGAATAAATAACATAATTATGAATAAAGATGATATCACAACTTGATTACAATTTTCTGATTGATTGTTATAATTGATTACAATTCTCTGATTAATTATTACAAGTTATAATTAATTGAGATAACATCTCTAATTATAAGTGAATTTAATATTACCTTCAAGCAGATGAGTTGTTTGAAGATACTAATATTCAAGCCAAAGATGAATAGTTACTGTATATTTAGTATTTCTGACTCATAATAAATAAGATCTTTTTGGTATAGAATTTCTCTATTTTTGTTTTTCTTTATTACTATAAATACAATGATATAGTTTCCAGAAAATAATATTTTTTTCTGTAACTTGATAATCTTTTGTTTTAGATATTGTCATCATTAATAATTCCTTGAATTTAGCAAACCATTACTATGTATTTTTAATACTATTAGCATTCTAAAAAAAATCTACTTTGAAATTATTAATTGAAAAATCTTCTTTCAGAATGCATGGTAAAAGTTGTCAAATTTCAAAAGAAGAATAATTATAGTTTGGTAGAAGTATAGCTGTAATAAAATCAGGCAATATTTATGATCATTATGGTCATAGAAACAAAATAAACCTAATTTATTAGTAATTCTTTTAGATATTAAGTTTGTTTGCTTTATTTGGTGGTGTATGGGATCTTGCCGCTGGGGTACATACACTATGCTTCGGTAAGTTTTTTAATCATCTTTATACACCGTCATCTCACAATTTAAATAAAGGGAATGAACTATACACAAAGACCCTGTGTTTGCGCACAACATGCTGTTGTATATTCTCGCAAAAAGTAAAATCATTTCCACTAACTGGAAATGCGTTACCCAATAATCCGGAAAGAAATTTAATTCCACAGTCACAAGATCCTGCGGTTCAACATTTACAGCTCTTTTTAAAGTTTTTGGATACATTAGATCGTGTGAAGTACAATAACAATAATAATGGGAATCAACCCAACGCTAAATCATTCAACAACAACAGGAGGTTTCACAACACACAATATTATGGACAGTCACCAAGTGCACAACCATTTGGACTTGTTCAAGTACCATTATAATATTTATTGCATAGAACATTAATATTTGTATTTGTATTTGCTTCTCGTTTTAGCGTAATAGTAATAGTAATATGTAATTAGTAGATTTAATAAAAGATAATACAGTACCTATTTCTTTGGTGTCAATCTAACCCTAGCTCCAAGACAAATATTAGAGAATTTGTTTTCATATTTTATAGGCATGTCAGTATCAAGAAGTTCAACATTATACTTGCGATACAACAAAATTGTCATCGCTTTCAAGATAGTTATTCCTACTAATCGTCCGGGACATGATCGTAATCCCATACCAAAAGAGAGATAAATTTTTGGATTTTTAATCTCACTGTTCAAGAATCTCTCTGGTCTGAATTCGTTGGGATCTTGCCAGATATCCGGATTGAAATGGATTGGTTGAATATTGACACAAAATCTGGTGCCGCGTTTCCATTTGTATCCGCCGATTGTTTCTTCTTGGGTATTTGTTCTTTCGGTCATAAATACGGATCTTACACGAAGAACTATTTGAATTAAACAAATATTTGTGAGTTTAGTTTGTAAATAAAAATAATATAGTTTTTTTTTACCTTCATAGATTACCGCCTCGATATATTTAAATTGTGCAAATTCTTCAATATTTATTGTGTCAGTTTTTGAACTTGCATAATCTCGAATTTCTTTTTCAACTTTCTCTTTAACTCTGGGAATTCGTCCAATATACTCAATAATATAACCGAAAATACCGGCAGTCTGGGGTTTCAATCAGAATAAAATAGTATGTTAATTAAACAAACATTAATTAAAATATCGTAGCCTTACCGTAGATGCGGAAGCTTTCATAATCTCTTGTAATGAGTCCCGAATATCTTCTTCATCCATGCGATAATTATCGCCACCACTATCTTTATTATTCGATGCAGATTCTTCTTTCGAGTCAAGAAGTAGATTCAATGCATCCAGCTTTAATTTAGAGTCATAACCACTTTGCGCTCGTTGATCAAGACGTTGACGAATAATTCTTTCATAAGCTCTATGCAAAGTTTCACGAGATTGAATATATCGTTGGGTACGGTGAGCGAAAAGATATCGCCAGACTAATTCGGGCGAGATAATAAAGAATATGATCGCTTCTTCTATAACTGAAATTGCTTGTTCGTGATCATTACAAAAATTCAATTCTTCTGTTGGTATTTCCTTTTTTCCCGAATTTGCAAGGGAATTGAAATGCTTCAACATGAAATAGCAGCGCCTTCCAACATTCAAATCATACATTAAATCTGTTAAAAAGTTTGTTGCCCATGCAGGTAAAAGTAAAGCGTTGTCATATCCAAGTAGTTTCCAGTATTCTTCCATCTCCGCGAAATAAATTTGCGATTGTTTTAAAGTCTCGCGCTGAAAATTGGGCGACATTAATAGATTATCGATCACTTTACGGGTTGATCTCCAATGTGAAATATTTCCATTAAAAAACATTCCTCTTCGTGGATTGGCGTAATGATCTAATCCTTTGTATGAGCCACTGATATATCGTAAAAGAAAATTGCTCTTTGTTGATTTCATTGTAAGTTTTTCAATTAGTTCCGATTTGCTTAAAACTATTTTACGTGTTGGGCCGAACCAAACTTCAAATATGTCACCGTATTTCTTATGAAGATGTGGTAACCAATGTTCCCAATCACCTTGCGTTTGGTATAGACTTCCGATGAGAGGTAAAGGAAATGGACCGGGAAGAGGATTTTCCCGTGCAAAGTAATCAATGTAAAATCGAAGAATATAGAAAATCAACAGAATAAAAAGAATATTGAAGAAATCTATCAGGTTCAATGAAGTCAATACTGATAAAAGAGCGGGCATTATGAGAATTTCTTGACTTTAAAATTTTGTTACGTTAATTTTTGAATTATTTGTTAGACTACAAAATTCTTGTTACGTTAATTTGAATAGCGATAACGATGCATGTAGCCCTGATATGTAATATCGTGATACAAAAATAAAACTTGTTTTAATAACGATAGCGACAGAGTTTATTGGTTTATACAATCGGATCATTTTACATAACAAATAAATCTATTTCAGTATAAAACATGCCAAATGTAAATTAATGGTTTTCAAAGCCCAACGCAATGATATTGGAACAAAAATAAAATGATGGGTAGCTACTTATACATACGAATGAAAACAACAAAAGAAAAAGCTATTCAATCCTAGGCTTCAAATAGACGTTCGTATCATTGGGAATGGTAAGTTGTATCGGTTTATCCGTATTAACGTTAACCAATTTAACCTCATAGCGATAATAGATATAGCAAAATCAGTAACTTCTTTACAAGATATTTCTCGCGGGACAAATGTGTCCACCACCCGATGGATAAAATTTTTTTAAGATACTTTTTCAAATCTTTCGGGATCGGTATATTTTTTGTTACGATGAGGTTTTTAGTAATTCACCACAACTTGTGTGTCGGGTTTCCATCAATATCCAGCTATTTCATCTTCGCGTTGATTTGTGGAACATAAATGCGCTGCTATGTTTATACAAGTTGTTTGTTAGTATAAATTGTTATATAACTATTAAGAATAAAATTGAAGTGGCTTACTTTCATAATACATGTATAAAGCCTCGATATATTTGAATTCGTTCAAATCATCGTAAGTGATAACACGATTTAAATTATCCAAAAAAATCGAATTAATCTCAGGCTCTAATCTTTGCTTCCACTTCCGGATGCCTACCGACATATTCAACAACAAATATGAAGGCAGAAACAGTCTGATTTTATAAAGAATAATGAGTAGTTAGAAATTCTGCAACGGGTAAGAAATGACCATAAAAAATACACACAGTGTCAGTTTGATGTAGCAATAGACTCGAATAAACTCATCTGCATTGCATCATCAATTCAGTCAAAGGTAAATCACAAATTATTTGTGTCGCGTTCTGTATTCGCTGCTGTTAATAAATTCTTTATATCTGGTTTCCATGGTTCATCGATCGATGTTCCTGAATAAGATCACACAGTATTCTCCTCAATTGATCGTGAATTTAAGACGTTCCTTACTTTGTTTCCAATAATTGTATTTCTCAACAACGAGTGTGTCGTAAACAAGAAAAATATTCGATGTAAACGCATTTTCAAATCCATTGACAATTTTATCAGTCATATAATAATTTCTGATGCAATGCGAATGGTCCAGGCATTCAAACTGAACCTAATTCCTTCTAATAATCTTTGCATTTCCTTGAAAAATTTCCGCGTCATTTCAATTGTTCCATGAAAGTACGCTGGGTTCGAAACCGCATAATCAAAAGATTTTCGATTAAATAGGCAAATTTCAATTTGATTAAATTAATATCTTTATTCACCAACAATCAATTAAAATTCTAGAGCTTTTAAAATAAACTATATAATATAATAGTTTTTTTAATCATTAGCAAGTTTAGAGCCTGTATAAATTAAAATCATGCTGCCAAACCTTCATGAAACGCATAACGAATAATGAAATTACTTTTATGGATGAAACATTAAGTTGTTCAATTAATTACGCACCCCAGATTTCGAAAATTTCATCGTGCATTTTAGATACATGTAATCGTAAATCCATTTAATTGCTACTGAGGTGTAATAAAGATCACCGAAAATTTGTAATGGAAATGGACCTGGAAGAGGATTATTATGGGTAATATTTATAATAGGAAAGTGAAATGTAAAGGATTATAGTAACAAATAAAATAGTAATCCAATCTCTGAGACTTAGTGATGTAGGAAATTTACTAAAAATTTCATATTATCGATAAAGAATAATTGCGCAATTGTTTCTACCGCAGATATCAATTCCAGAAAAAAAGATGCTAACGCACTAACGCTAATAAATACATATATAGAGCAAATAGAAAAACTTATATTCATATAATAACTCTTTATATATGATATGACAAAACTACATGCATAATATATCGATACTGATATTTTAAATTTATATTTATTAATTCCCAACCTTTTAATCACGTAAATATAAAATGCGCATAAGACCACTGTTATAGTTGCTCTGTTCGCAACTTTAATATCTCCTATTTTGAATGAATGTTTATAATATCAAAGTGACCTAAAAAAGAAACTTACCTTTGACATTGTTTTTTTCAGTATTTTTCTCCTGAAAATTTAGAGACATGTAATTTTTGATGAAGGTGGAAGATATAAGTCTCCATTATTCTTTTAAAGTTACTCGAGATACTTATTTATTTGTTCAAAATTTTTTACCATTTGGTTTATCCTTTACTTACATTTTGATATTGTCATATCTTTTACATTGCATAATTCTTGTAAACTACATTTAAGCTTAGAAATAAGAATCTCCCCCATTTTCGAATTTTCAGATTTAATTTAAGAAAATTTTTCTTATAATAAAGTGAATTTTTATAATTAAACTATAAATTAATTATAATTTTTTTTGCAATCACTTTACTATAGGAAAAATTTCTCAAATTAAATCTGAAAATTCGAAAAAAATTTATTTCAAGGTATAGATTCTTATTTTTTATTTTAATGCAGAAATAAAAAAATATTTATTGAAAAATTTGAATATTTTAATAGACTTTTGTACATATCCTATGAAAATAATTGTCCAGTAAATAGTTAAAAATTGTTCAGTTGTTTATCTGAAAAATAAATTAAATATTCAGAAAAATATTGGAATGAAATTAATTTTCCGAGTAATGCATTTATATAATTTATACGAGTTTATTAAATATTTTGCGGATTATATTTGATATATATCCTATTTTTATATGAATTTTATATAAGTTATAACAATAAATTCATACAATTTTATATATAAATTTATCAGATATTTGTTCAGATTATATTTAATCTATAGCTTATTATTATTTGATATATCTAAATTATGTATCAATTTATCAGTTACATTAATATTTTACTATCTTAAAATAGAAGTATTATATTATGAAAGCTATTTTTTTCCTAAAAAAAGATATTAAAATATTAATACATTACTTATATCTG